TCATAATTTGGTTTTAGTTCATCAGTTCAATGATAAGTTCAGTTTTCAATACCACGAGAAAAAGGCCACAATATTCTTAGTCAAGCATAAGAGGTTCTCATAGGTCTACATTCCACGCATGGTGCCCTTTAATGCAATATGAAGTACGTTCAAATTATGTAGACATTTCAACGTTGTCGTAATTGACTTGCCAACAATCTTCTGAGACGTATGTTTTAAGTTTGAATAGATCAGCTAGTCTGTCATTCAAGTACAGTTGAATTCCAATTCATATAAATGAAAATTAAATAAAAGAACTTCATCCGTACTGAGTTATCTTACTACCAAAAAAATAATAATTGAAAGTAATTATGGCAATCATCAATATCAATCGCAGTTTTAAAAAAATCTATAACAAGTTGTACTGTTTTGAGATAATTAAACATAAAGTATACATTAGGCTCCATATAATCCACTAGAAAATATGCTTCCTACGCTCTAGTAGTGTGAAACTGCCAATAGAGGAAGTTTAGCGAGTAATGGTATATGTGGAGAAAGTCTTCATTCAATACTGAATTCCAAAAACAAAAATTAAAAGACTCCTTTTTTTTTTTAATTGCATACATTGGACTCAATTATGTTTAAGGTACAATCAAACATTAAATGTAAGCATATCTTTTAATCAAAAATCAAATCTTGATTTATTATATTGTAAGAAATTAATCCACACAACCACTTCCACATTATGTTAGTCAAAGTATGGTTGAAAAGTATTCATTCTTTATCTCCTAACCATGTTAATAAACAATTACAGGTTATGTATATATAACCAAAAAAATTAATAGAAAATAAAATAAAAGAAGGTTTTTTGAATTAATACCAAATAAAATTGAGTAATGTAAACTAAAAAGGATACCCTTAATATTACAAAACTTATCATTTTTTTTGAAAAAACCAATGGCGAATTAATACACCAATATGCTATTGGAATTCAAATTCAAATTTAATATACCAATCACAGTATTAATGTTTATTTTAACTATAAAAATTATTTTATTAATAATAGAGATAATTTAATCCAAATTTTTTAATTTTAAATATAATTATTATACTTAACTAATTTTCTTAAATTATGTGAATTAATTATTTTTTATATATTTGAAAACAGAGTAATATGATTAATATGAAAGGACATTTATTTATTTTTGTAATCGATCAAGGACAACTAAGGTTGTTCTTGCAAATTTTTTTTTTTCCTAATTTCAGATAAATTTTTTATATTTGACCAGTTTAACGACTGATACTTTTGGAATACGGCTTGATGTACTTGCCAAGTGAATGCCCCTTGCAAGGCTGCAACCGTCAACTGCCAAAGTCTGACCAATAAATATTGCACATGCAAGTCACAGAAGATTAATTACACCCCAACCAAACAAAACATATTTCTTTGGGAGGATGACAACTAAGTCCAGCCTCAGGGTCATTTTAATTATTCAACTTAAGTCCTAGTAAATTGTTGAATGTAAAGTAAGTTTCTTGGTTCTCAAGTGATATTTTTGATGCACTTGGAACAAGTTATAAATTTAATTGGTCAAAATTGTAAATTGAGAATTAAAGTTATAAATTTGATATTTATTATTAGTAGGGGTGGAGCTAAAAAATTTTATTAGAAGGGCTGAGATGACAAATCAAATATAATAATTGAAATACAAATTAAATGTGTATATATATATAACTAACATAGTATATATACTTTAACATGTATATTTATATTTAATTTTACAAATATATAACAAAAATAAATATATACTTTTATTTTTTAATTTTTGCTCATCAATTTTTTAAAGTATAAAAATATTTAATTATCATGTCTACAATAAAAGTTTTAGCAATATTTTTTTTCAATATAAACTATCATTAAATTGGTAAATATTTTATTTTTTTTATGAGCATTGAATGATTTAAATACATCATTTGAGATCATTCATGCTTTAAGAACAAGTATAGCATTATCTTATTGAAAATAAGTAAATCTTATGACAACTATATCTTTAAATTACTAAAATAGTTGGACTATACATGCATAAACAATTATGCATAGAATTCAAATGAGAATTTCATGTAGTATTTTAAAGCTTCTATAACGTTTCAATTTAAGGGGGCTGAAAATATATGACCTCTATATTTTATTAAGAAAATAATTAAAAAATTATCCTCATATCTCCACCCCTGCTCGGTGAGGTCAACAATGAACAAAAAATTAAGCCACCAATAAAAAGAACATGATAAACTGATGTCTTTGGTTTCAATTTTAAGATTTGAATTTTTGCAATGGGTAGAATTTTGATAAATTTATTAAATTCTTTTGACAACGAAAATAAACCCTTTAATATTTATATAGATAAATAGAATGAGAGTCAAAATTGCGATTCCTTATATGAAATCAAATTACTGATTTTTATAATTTATTCAAGTAATGACTAAATAATAAATTAAATTGTCATATATTGTATGTTTAACTTACTATCTTCAAAGCTAAAGTCTTATCAAAAAATTATATACTCCTTTTACACTATAATATAAGTTATAGTTAATTAATTCGTAACTTTTAAATGGTTTCAGTTTAACTGTCTATTAGAAGCAGTTCAATCCAATCCAATCCAATAGTTAAAACGGCCAGAAGGTTTAAATCAAGCTTTTAGAGTGACCGGCCAGCAATTAGGTCCAGTTTGAAAATCATTGCCATTCCATCTCCCCTCCCAGGCTCCCCCCACACCACAGGCATCACCAGTTTGGAGACGGATCCAGTCCTTTTGAGGTAAGTTCGAGTTCAAGTTCAAGAGAGCCGTGAGAGAGAGAGAGAGAGAGAGAGAGAGAGAGAGAGAGAGAGAGAGAGAGATGCCGAACGGCTACGGTAAGGCCATGTGAGACTGAGTCCAAGATTGGGAGATAGGGTGTTGTAGCGTGGAAAAAGAAGACGCACTGCCAATTACTATAAGAGAAGTGGCTACATAATATTCATAGTCAAGCACAAGAGGTTGTTAGAGTTAGAACGCTTCTGCATTTCTGTAGCGTGGAAAAAAGAAGACCTGCTACCAATTAATGTAAGAAAAGTGGCTACATAATATTCATAGTCAAGCACAAGAGGTTGTTAGTTCATTTCAACTCTGCCATTAATACAACATGAGCAACGTGCAAATCACAAAAAAATATCTGGATGGATTGAAAAGTACTTTTTTGTTTTTGTTTTGGGCAAAATGGATTGAAAAGTATTCATTCTTTATCTTCTGGCCACGCTAACAAGTTAACGGATTATCATGAATATATAACAAAAAAATAATTAATAGAAAAATAAAATAAAATAAAGCTTTTTTGTGTTAATACCAAATAAAAGTAATTAATAAAATAGAAAATTAATCTACAAGTTGTCATAATTTTCATTGATTTTCAATTAAATTCCTGTAAGCTGTGGTTTATTTTTTTAATCAAGTCTTTATAGTTTGATCAATTAAATGTATTAGTCGCTGAATGTTAAAATTAATACTGAACGATTGACCTTTTCAAAAAAAAATTTCAAAATTTTTTATTTAACACTTTTGGCCATAAAAATAAAAAATTGATTTAATACAATCTTTATATTTTTATAGTATTTTTTATGAAAATTATATATATATATATATATAAATTATGCAATTAATTCTAAATTTATATAATCCGTTAATAATGATATAAAATTTCTTAATTGCATTTCTTAAAAGAAAAATTCAAGAATTTTAATCCATAGGAATTAACATTTTTAATAGATTAAATTATAAATATTTACTTAAAATAAATTAAATTACATGGATCCAATTGAAAAGTGAGAAAAACTTAGAAGACCTGCAGATTAGTTTTTATAAAAACTAAAAACTACACTTTTAATTTTAAAGAAAATAACTAAAAATTTGATTTAAATTAACTAGAAGGTAATAAGTATTACATATCACAATATTGTTTTTTAAAAAAAAAAAAGCTGATGGCGAATTAATACCAAATATGCCATTTGAAATTTGTAGGTTTCTTTCCATTTTCTGCGCCCGGATTTGTTTTAAAAATACTCAGTCTTGATCTTTTTTAATTTCTTGTTTCCCTAATTTATGTGGCTTTTTATTTATGTTTCATTAAACTGATCTGTTTTATCCTTTTGAAGATATGTTGAAAGAATTAGGACATGCATGCTAAACTCACAATCACAGTAAGACGGGCTAGTTTCCAAATTAATTGTTCTCCTCAAAATATAATTTACTACCTGTACTTTTCTTCTTCTTTATACATTCCTTTAATATTAATTATTAACTTTCGTGCATATGGTAGTTTGAGTAATATTCTAGTTTATTATAATTAGACATAATTTCCTATATATTAAGCAAAGTTTGAGGTTAATCACACTATTCAAAGCTTATAAACAATATGATTTATTAGAACTTTTATAGTTTCTATTGATGATATTGATATCGATTGTCTTATCTATATGCAATCCTCTTTTATCTTAATCTAAATGGGCTCTCTGGTCCTATTTTCTTAATTCATTAAATCTTACAATGTCATTTTAAATATACACCATTTAAAATTCTAACAAAAATAATTTTAGAATGTAGAAACTTAAAATAAAAATTGTATGCTCGATCAACAATTTAAGACATGATAATTAACAATGAAATTTAAAAAAAAATTAATATAAGTTATTCATATATAAAACGAATAAAGCACATTGTTAGAGAAAAACTGGGAGGAGGGGGATAAGGATTAGTAAAAGTCATGGAAGCAACGCAGAAATGGAACTTTTCTTACTCTGAATGCTCTCAGTGGGGACATAGAAACAAACGGAGCCAATAATGAATAGAAAAGGCATCAAAGAAAAGTGTAATAAGAAAGTGTAACTCTATTTCTTACACAACTAGTCAAATATTTGAATTTTCTTTGTCACTCTGCTTTATATAAGCATGAGCTTTCTGCGTTATTGAAACAGCACCCAAGTGAGTTCTTTCAAGCTCAAACTGGAGAAAGAGCTCACCAAAATCAAAGAAATCACCATATAGTTATGGATTCCATTGCAGCCATCCCAGAAAGTGAGTACTTTAAAGCTGAAGCTCACTTGTACAGATACATTTATAGCCACATTAATAGCACAGTTCTCAAGTGTGCTGTTCAGCTAGATATCCCAGACATAATCCACAGCCATGGCCAGCCCATCACTATTCCTCAATTGATCTCTAAATTAGAAGTTCACCCAACCAAAACTGGCTGTGTGGAGAGGCTTGTTCGCTTCTTGGTGCACAATGGCTTCTTATTAGAAACCAAAGTGAACAATGAAGAAGACGAGGAAAGTGAGGCATATACTCTCACTCCTTCTTCTAAACTACTCGTCAAAGCCATGGAACCAAACTTGGCACCAATAGTAAGGTTGGTCGAGACTGGTTACATGGCTACGTTTGATTTTCTAGGAAGCTGGTTCAAAGGGAACGATAAGACGATAGCTGAGATGGCCTTTGGGGTAAGCATGTGGGAAATGCTTGAACATGATCCTCTGAGATTGAAGTCTTTCAATGAAGCCATGGCTAGTGATTCACAGATGATCACCAAGGTACTTAAAGACTCTAAATCAGTCTTCAAAGGATTGGAATCCATAGTTGATGTAGGAGGCGGCACAGGCACCACATGCAGGATCATCTCTGAAGCATATCCTAATATGAAATGCATAGTGTTTGATCTTCCACAAGTTGTTGAAAACTGTTCAGGAAGCAAAAACTTAAGTTTTGTTGGTGGTAGCATGTTTAGATCCATCCCTTCTGCTGATGCTGTTCTTATAAAGGCAAGTTATTCTAATCTGATTACATAAAAATATATTAAATATGATTAAGGGTGTCATTTTTGTCCTAGAACTTTTCACATAGGGTCTATAGGTGTCCTGAATTCAATTTTATGTCATTTTTGCCCTTAAAATCTTAACATTCAATGCCCTATTGTCATGCCATAAAAAACCTAACCAGAAATGTTTTGAGTTGTGTTCACTTGGATGTCATGTAGTCACATCAAAAGCAGCGTCTAAATTGAAAGACGACAAGACATCAAATTTTCACAGTTCAAAGATAAAAATAACCCACAATCAAGTTTAAGACACCCACATATGTGAAAAGTTTAAGAATAAAATGATCCTTATTTTTATTAGATATACAATACTAAATACGTAAATTATCCCTTTTTATTAATACCAACGGTTTCTAACTAATGTATATGGAACCGATGTAATTGAACCACATAAGCTCTTTCAATCATTTACTTAAATTCCATTCTTCATATATATATATATATATATTGCTAAAGATTTTATATTTCATATGTTCAATATTGTTATATTGAATATTTAATTGAATCATTGAAAAGGGATGTGACATTTGGTGTTGTTGATTTTGTGTGCAGTGGATATTACATAATTGGGATGATGAAAGTTCTTTGAAGATACTGAACAACTGTAAGGAGGCAATCACAAAGAAAGGAGAAGGAGGAAAAGTTATAATCATTGACGCAGTGATAAAGGAGAAGGACGATGACGATGGCATGATGCAAGTGAAACTCTTGTTTGACATTTTGATGATGAGTACTCTGAACGGGAAAGAAAGAACTGAGAAGGAATGGAAGAAGCTTCTAGAAGCTGCAGGCTTCAAACATTACAAGACTGCTCCTCTTTCTGGTTTTAGGTCCATCATTGAAGCTTATCCGTAATCATTATCTGGTTTGGAACTTCTCGGAAGAAATTTATCCTTTTAAAATTTTATGTTTTTCTTTTAAGTACTTATGTTGTTGTTGTAGTAATTAGCCAAGCTTCAATTACTGATGGTGATGATGTGAGATATTCCCAAGTTTAAGGGAAAAAAAATTTGCTCCAGTTCTTTTAATTATTTGCATTTTTTTATGATTTAAGCACGTACTGTTAATTCTGGCCAAAAAAAAAATGCACGTACTGTTAATTATTTTAAGGACTATCACTGCATAGGGACACAATAAGGATTTAAAAAGATATTGATTTAAATGCCAATTGACCAGGTTAACTTAAATTCGTAAGAACAGTGTGGGGACTGGGTCAAAGTCAAAAATTCAAATACTCCCATGTAAAGGTATCTATTCCCAAAAAAAAAAAAAGATACAGTTGTTAATTATAATACTCTTTTAATTTTATTTATAAGTCACTTTTAATATATTTTATTTGAGTCAAGGAAAATATTAAAACACATAAACTCTATCACTATTACAAAAAAAAAAAAGCATAGGGGAGCATTTCTATTTTGTCAATGAGAGTGTTTTCGAAGCTCTCTCATAACTAAAACTCACATATATACGAGAGCACTTAAAAAGCACTCTTATAGATGGAGGATATAAGAGCGCTCTTTGAAAAAGCACTCTTATAAGTTTGGCACGACAGCACTGTTTGTCAAAGGACTCCCATAAACCCCATAGAACTTTAATTAAAAAAAATATAACAAACCTACAATAACTCTTTTCCAAAGAGCGCTGCCATATCCTTCCCAACATGAGTGCCCTCATACCTTCCCCTCACAAGAGTGTTTTTCTGATAAGTGCTCTTGTATTCTGGTTCTATGGGAGTGCTCTTTAAGTGAGTGCTCCCATATGGTATTTTTTTTATTTTGTTTTAAAAAATTGATATCCTTTTACACTTTATCTTGCAGCGCTCGTTACAAATAACTAATCCATAACAATATTAAAAATCAATCCACCAACAATATAATTTAATATTAGAAGTTGTATAAAATCAAAGAACTTAACACTAAAACTTAAATAAATTTTTTAACTTGTCTAATCTTTAACTAGTCTAACAAATAAAATTTTTGGTATTTTTCTAACATTAGAAGCTAGTTACCCATCACAAACAACCAATTATATTTTTTTGACTACTCACTCAATTATATTTTTTATTTGGTCCATGTTAAAATGCAAGGATTTTGCTCCTGTAAAATATTACAAGAGAAATCAACATATAATTAATTATCTATATTATATGTAATACATGAATTTAATTTTGAAACACTTACATTTGGCAAAATGATTAGCTCTTGTTGTGTGATTACTTCATTCATAAACTTCAACACATAGTAATCACACTTCCAACTTTTTATTTGTGTAGGTACCTATAAAAATAATAAAAGAAGATGTAATTATCTAAACATGTTAGAAACAAAATGCAACTAATTTACATTTCATGGATCAAATTATATATATAATTTGGATCTACAAATCAAATATAGTGAAATGTGGCAGAGCCTCCCCTATTACTTGGATGTTTCAAAAATTCTAATTCAATCCAAATAGCATATTCAGAATAATAGACATAAAATGTTAATCAAACAATCATTTAGATACATATCAAACATGGTTTATTAAGCAAATAATACAAACATTTATTTTGTTCCATGTATAATACTTAGCAGGGTCACTCTTTTGTGTATTTGGAGGAAAACCTTCACTACCTCGATAATGTGCTATGGCCCTATCATAATTAAGCATACTAATCGAAATTATACCTAATTCTTATTATAGATATGTATAAAGAATATAGAACATAACACTTACTAATTAAATAATACCCTCATAGATATGTAATTTTTAAGCTCATTATCTTTTAATGAGTCAAGATACTAAATTGCAGGGATGAATGGATTGATGCAAACAAACACCTAATATTGCCTAAAACATTAAATATTTTATCAAATAAAATGTCAACTAGATTTGAAGACAGATAACAACTCACCTTGGACTGTGAGGCACTAAAAATAACATGTTATTCTTTTCTTAATTCTCTCCAGGCCTCTGGAACTTCATATGATTGGAAAATACCACAATGCCTTTACTAGACTACATACCATTTCTTTTGTACTATGAGGTGTTGCATTTTGGATATTTATATAAGGTTGAATACTCATTTTGAAAGAGGATATAGGCATTGAGATATTTATATATCTTCTTATAACTCATCCCAATAGAACATAGCACCTTTTTTGCCTCGTAAGTATTAGGTGGAAGTTTGTTGTACTCTAACAACATCTCTTATAAAAGTTCAAGCAAATATTTGAAACTCTTATCACTTTATCCATTAGCCGCTTTTATTTTATATAATTTTAGAACAATTGACAGTTTTGTGATTTTCTTACAATTGGGGTACAATATGATTTATCATATCTCTTCAACCTCTCAAACATATGAGGATAGTTCTCAAGATCCTCTTCAACTATATTAGTCATCTCATCAAAATGGTTAATATCATATGTTCCACTATCACAATCAAATGATGTGTAGCTCACACTGTACCTCTGATCACTAGTGTAATTCCTTGCCTCCCCATGCATGGTCTAACAACTATAAGTTAGATCTATCCTATTACCTATCAAATGATGTCTCAATTCTGTTGGCCCTACTTGTCTTCCATAGCAACATTTTATACAAGGACATATGATTTCATGGGGTCCTTGATCATGAGAAAATGCAAACTCAATGAACTCATCTAGCCTATCCTAATATTCTTTAGACAATCAATTAGCTGACATTCATTTACGATCTATATCACTAATATAATTATAGATATTTAGAATAAAGATTTACAATTTAAAAAAAATTCAGTAGAGTACCCCCTAAAATTGAAACATCACAAATAATCAAATAATCATATCCAATAGTAAAATATATCAATTCATTAAAATATAAATTTTGTAGCATAATGTAACTAAAATCTATTAAACAATTGTAATTTATTTTTTTATTCTCACAAATATATAATGGATTTTGCAAGTGTACGGTTTATAAATTAGTATGTAATAAATTAAGGTCGATCCCATAGAGAATTAAGTTAATTAGTAATTAGGCAATAAATTTTTCATTTTCATTTAAATCAAGCAAAACAAAATTTGAGTTTGATTTTGCAAAATAAGAAATTGAAGTTATATAAATGCACTAAAATTAAAATTCTAACAACCACAAAAAGTCAAGGCAACCTAGGGTGGCTAATTCCTTCTTTAATCCATAGAGCATATAATTATCCAAATAAATTCACTTAGTATTAATTTTTTAATCTAGAGTATTAATAGTGATAATTATCTTCTAATTAATTATACCCCTCTCTTGAATTAATATGCTATTCCTAACACAAATACCTAAGAGGCAAAAAGGCACAAACTCACTTTAATGTGATTATATGGGTCTAATAGGTATATTCCTATCGTATTGACAAATTAGAATAAATTGTAATCCTATATTACTCAATCTAATAGTCTAATTCAGATTTTTCTTTTTCAAGGCAAAACCTAAATTCCCAAATTTACACTAAATGTTGGCTAAGCTCTAAGTCGACAAATAAGCACAAGATTAAGTAAATAAAATTAATATTGAGCTTAAATAAATGGTTCAAATATGCTCTAATCTAATAATTAGTTCATAGCTACCTAAATTAAGAGAAAATTAGCCACACATGGCTCTGATGACAAACAAAATTAGCAATATGCATAAAAAAGTAAAGAGAAGAAGGAGAATAAAAGTTTAATCGAAGCAATCTTGAGTGAAACCCTTGATTTTTCACTAAAGCCAAGATTCTCCAACCCTTCTTTGGCTCTTTTTTCCCTCCCTGGTCGTTCTGCGACTACTGGAAGTAAGGAATGGTCAGAAATGAGGTCTCCAAACCCTAAAAGTTTGCTGAAGATCAAAACTATGTGTTTTACTAAAATCACGCTTTGGTGTAGGAAAATGCACTTTTGTTGTAGTGAACATGACCTATATAAATTTTCTTTCAATATTTACTTCCTTGGACTTGGGCTCCAAAATTTTCATCCTTAGGCCTATAAATTGGGCCTCTCTACTATATAAAACCTAAAATTAATGCTAGAATTGTCTACTAACTTTCAATTACATCTTCATGTCTATTTTTACACATAATCATCCACTTAATTATATTTTTGTTAATAAATTCAACTAAATGACTTCCAATTATATTAAAAACACTAATAAATTCAGTAAAATATTAGAAGTCATCAATTTTAGGTTTATCTGTTAGCTTAATACTATTATAGTCTTAAAAAAGAATTCCAATATAAGCATATCAAAATGTTTCACAAATACAACAAAAAAAGTTTAAGCAAGAGTTTCCTCTTAACTTTCAACCTTTCATACTTCAATAATAACTACATTCAACTTCAATCTCAAGTAACATAAAGTAAATCCCAATATAAGCACACCAGAATATAAAGAGTATTGCATCATTTATGTCATGCCCCAAAATATGGGAGTAACCGACATGAAATATGCACCAAAACACGCGTCCCTTAAGCCTAATTCAAGAAATTTTTTCATTTTTAAAATAGTTTCATGTAAAAGAAAGCCATGATAAATATCATAACAACTAGGAGCTCAGCTTCTTCCAGCCAATAGATGGAATATATATTGAAATAAGGATCCTAACTATAGCATATATGGAGCACCTAGAATTAAATTTACAAACAGAATTTCACAATTCAAAATTTACATCAAAAGTTAGCTTAGTCTACCTCATTCTTTATTTCCCAGCCCGTAATAAACCTTTCAATGATCTGTGGGAGATTTAACATTAGCTAATGAATCTAAAATCAAAATATTTTTCAGTGAATAACATCCCAAAGAATAGAATTTAGAATAGTAAAAATAATAAACTCAAACAATTATGTAAAATAATTGAAAAGAATATAATAAACTTAATAAATCTGTAAATCTTAATCATAACCATAAAATGAGATTAAACTGAAAATAGCTTTATTCTATCATGCTTGAGAAAAACAAATTATCCATATGTAAATTGAAGTAGTGCACTTATTAACTAAAATCATTGAAATTTCAAACACACCAGTTAGTCAAAAACT